CGGCAAATTGTTCCACCTGACCCTCGCCTTTGTCGTTGGTGCCTGTCACCCCGTGTTGAGCAGCCCAGTATTTCACAGGAAGACCACGAAAATTCGTTGCACGCTCCTCGCCCTTCGAGAAAAACAAAGTCTTCGAATGTCTGGCACTTTTGACAAACGCCTTGCAAAATGCGCGACCATCGCTGCTCTCTCCGTATCAAACTGGGGGCAAAGATAGATAGATAGATAGATAGATAGATAGATAGATAGATAGATAGATAGATAGATAGATAGATAGATAGATAGATAGATAGATAGATAGATAGATAGATAGATAGATAGACAGACAGACAGACAGACCAGACAGATAGATAGATAGATAGATAGATAGATAGATAGATAGATAGATAGATAGATAGATAGATAGACCAGACAGACAGATAGATAGATAGAGATAGATAGATAGAGTAGATAGATAGATAGATAGATAGATAGATAGATAGATAGATAGATAGATAGATAGATAGATAGATAGATAGATAGATAGATAGATAGATAGATAGATAGATAGATAGATAGATAGATAGATAGATAGATAGATAGATAGATAGATAGATAGATAGATAGATAGACAGACAGACAGACAGATAGATAGATAGATAGATAGATAGATAGATAGATAGATAGATAGATAGATAGATAGATAGATAGATAGACAGACAGACAGATAGATAGATAGATAGATAGATAGATAGATAGATAGATAGATAGATAGATAGATAGATAGATAGATAGATAGATAGATAGATAGATAGATAGATAGATAGATAGATAGATAGATAGATAGATAGATAGATAGATAGTAGATACATAGATAGATAGATAGATAGACAGACAGACAGACAGATAGATAGATAGATAGATAGATAGATAGATAGATATAGATAGATAGATAGATAGATAGATAGATAGATAGATAGATAGATAGTCTTATGCGGCACAACAGCGTCACTTGTTCGCGAGAAAGTCTGTCTTAACTAGGCGTATACCATTGTCCTAACGCTGGTTCCTGCATTTCTAAAGCGGCCAAATTTTTGCTTACTCAACAGTCGTGCGACTTTGTAAGCTTTGTTAATGATGTTTCGAAAATCGATTGTGGCGAATGGCACGTAATTCCACTTCTTCGATGGAATTCCTACAAGTAGACGAGGGCATAGTTTCAAATATCATGCCACAAAAATGTACAATTTACTAATTATGAACATATCAGTAATTGTTTTTCTAGATAGTTACTTTATAGCACATACTACATTTTAGGAACACATAATGTGCTGGAAAAAATACATTGCCGAAGGGCCGAATAAAAAGGAGAGCGGAGTTTGCGCGTTTGATCGTATTTATTGCGAAGTTCGTTACTTGTTGGATGTGAATCTAACTAGACTGCAACATAGTACTTCTGGGCATCTGCGAACTGCAATGGGCGAATTTCGATATATATATATAAATTTAGGGTACACTTCGAGCCGACATTGATTACGGGGCATATTCTATAGGCGGCGTGCAAACCCTGCAAGTGCGCTTCTCCCCATATTCCGTTCGACTAAACTAATATGGCCGGCTTAAAGCTGTACTTTGGTTTGTTGGCTTGCGGCGTTCAACGTTCCAAAGTGACTCGAGCTATGAGATACGCTGTAACGATGGGCTTCCGGATAGTATCTGTCCCCTAGGGTTGTTCAGGGTGCAATGACATCGAAAGGCGCACGGACCTCCAGCGTTTTGCCTCCATCTAAATACGACTGCTGCGGTCAGCGCGAGTCTTTCTGATCGGACACCGACCAACGAAATCACTGAGCCACCGCGGGGGCATTCGGGAATGGTCACATCGGTTAAATCGAGTTGTAACTGTGGGAAGCCCGCTTACGGAATCTCGAAAAGGTTTGGGTCACAGTTCAATCTCTTCCACGCTGCTTGAGAAGGATGTAAGGAAAAACAACTGGTGCAATCACTTTCGCGGTGCAAGTTAGAGGCATATCTACACGGGAGAAGACACTAAAGCAGGGCGAGTGCGAGTACCGCTTCAACTGAAACAACAGAGCTGGGTTGTCCTACAAGTTCAACCTCATTAAAATAAACGCATATTCCGAATTTCTCCCATAAGGACGCGCCTTGAGAACTCATCTGTATCAGCCAGGCAAACTTTGCATTATGTGACCTGAAATGAAGTCACAGTTACAATAATAGGCGTGAGAACGAGGGGGGAAAGGGGGGGATACGGCCCCTCCTAGTCACCAGTGAGGGGGAGGGGGGCGCAACATCTGGCCCATACATTGACTTGAAAGGGAAGGTGGGGGGGGGGGGGGTGCTGCGCCCTCCCTAATAGGAAACCCTGCGCACGCCTATGGTTATAGTGAAATACTATTCACTAGGGAATTGAAAACCTCAAAGTTACGTAATTTGATTTCTCGTGCAAGTAATGTCCGAATCTTCCAGAAACCTATGCCGATTCAAGGAGTATAAATGTTCTATGCCCTCGGTGCATATCACAATGGAATGTGTGCGTCCACAACATACACACACACGCACACAAACACAACACACACACGATAAAGATGCCGGAGAGAGCCATTACCGTAAGGAGTGACAAAGAGAGAAGAGAAAATATGAAAGGAAACGGTGGCGTGGAGGGGGGTTGTGCCTAGCCAGCGTAGCCTCAGAGAGACATCTCGAGCGAATTCCCAACCGTCACCGTTTTGAGCGGCGCCCACTTCTCTCTGCGAACCAGTTCCAAGCGACGCCCCGAAGGGATCGGCACAAACGACATGCACATGCAGAAAAACAGGCAGCCCGAAGGAACGGCAACTAATTAAGCTCGCTGACGGCATGGGTGACGAAGCAGTGTTAGCTTCAACCGGATGACACAAAAAGAAAGGCAAGGGCGAAAGGTGGAGAGATGCTGGGAGGGGCTGGTTGAGAAAGAACGGGCGCGTCTTTGTAAACGATAGAAGCATCGTCAACGGCAAAGAGCCTAAGCCTCGTCCAACGGTTAAAATTCCAGCCGCTCTGGGTGCTAGTGCATTTAAATGACCGGGGAAGCCGCGCGAGGAACGAGGATGATGGAAGGGGAAAAGGGAAAAAAAAAAGTAAGGCAGACCCGCGAAACGGAAGGAACGTGAAAAAAAATTGAAAAAGAAAGCTAATATGTCAAACGGAAAAGCCTCGCGTCGGCTAGGAGAGGAACGAAGCTTCTCATTCAGAGGATGCCAGAAACGGAAGATGGACCCAAAAACGCTCAAGTATACAAGCAATAAAAAAAGAAAGTGGGGAGAGAGGGGGGATGGCATCCTCCTTGCCTCAACGCCGAATACGGAGAGCACGGCGGTTCCCAAGAGCACCGAACGGACCTTCGTGGGAAAGCGGCAGCAGCGGAGACGGGCGCGGAGAGAAAGCGAGGAGGCTGGCTTTCCCTCTCGTGACGTCTTCAAGGTCACACGCAAATCGTTGCCTCCTCTCCACCCGCGGCGCCCTGCTCGCGATGGCCTGCTTTTGTTTCGCCCGCCGCGGAGTGTCGGTGGTCGCCCCATGTCGCACTACTGCCCCCTCAGGCACTGAGCCGTGTACCCAAGCCGGGAGACAGAAATATGTGTCTCATTCTTTCTTTACAATCACTATATATACTATATCCGGCGCTCTGGCCGTGGGAAAGCAAAAATACAAAAAAAGGTAGTGCAGGGCGCTAATTCACATCAACTGAGAAACGGAGAAGACAAACCGCAGGATTAATCTTACAGTGATCCGAACTGCATAAGTTGTTCCGCGGGGCAAAATGTAGAGAAACGAGACCCGCAGGCCCGTACCCAAAGTTTCGGCGCAGATACACGCTCTTCGCCGCCTCGCCGCACTTTTGGGAAGATTGCTGGGTGATCGGCGAGGATCGAAAGCGTAATTTCCGGCGCTCAATTTGCCTGTCCGTGCACTGTACTATTGGGCGCGGTACTCAACGGCGGTGTATTTTGTCGACTTCACAGGCTCGCGGGAACAATCAGTTCCGACGCCGTTGTCCGTGTGGCCGCCTATTGCATTTTTATGCTGATGCGACCATCCTGAAGCGCCAACTCCGGAAGCACTCGCACAGCGTGCGCGACCGCTGTTAACGGCGCTGGCGCAGGGCGGCGCTACTGACGCGTTTCGCTTGGCTGGCAGCGAGACGCCGACGCACCGCTGTGCACGCACGCAACCTCCCGGGACGGCGACGGGACCACGACGCTGCCGCTTAGTACGACCCAGTGAATTGCATTCCTGCTAAGCACGGCATGACTGCGGCGATCGAGAGGGATATGCTAGCCGGAAATAATAAAGCTGTGATTTCTTTTATTTTTATTTTTTTTTCGGCTGCCTTTGCGGGATTTCTCGATAATACTGACGATGGAATAATGTGAAACGCTGTTTCAATACACAAAGGGATATGTCCCGAATCAAACTCTTGCAAGATAGTTTAGCCCCACACACTCCATTTATTTATTTTTTCTTCCCTGGCGGTTGTCTCCTTCTTATATAACCAGTACGGAGCCAAGAAGTGTTTGAAAAGTGACTTATTGCGTTTTTTTTTTGAAATTTGTGTTTTACAGCTTGCAAGATACTCATTATAATCCAAACAAAATAAGAAACACGACTAATGAACACTCGTTGCTCAGCGCAGAAGCGCCAGTTCTGGAGTTCCGCCGCTAGCGAGGAGAAATTCCCGCGGATCTCCTGAATTCCCACGGTTAAGCTCCACCACAGTGCGCGCACTTGTAGTGTAGTGAAGCTGCGCGAGATGGCGCTGGCGCCAACAAGAAAAAAAGGAACAATCAAGAAAAGCGTTACGAGCCAATCGGGTGCGTGGTGTAACGTGACCGAAAGTCTTTTCTGGCCGCTCATTGGCTGTACGCGTTGCGCGGGAAAGTGGCGCGCGCCGCCTGGCGCCGCTGCGCCTCTGCAAAAGAGAGGGGCCCCTTTGCAGGGCATTTAATGGCAGCGGGAGAGCGATTGGCGTCGGTCACAGCCTCTGCTGCCTCCATCTAGTCGCCGCGGTCGGGTCCGCTTGTGTGCGTGTTTGTGGTGTGTGCGCGCGTGTGTGAGCCATGTCGCAGACGGAGATTATGTCCCAGGAGGTCTTCCAACGCGCCGTCAAGAAGGGCGACGCCAGTGAACTGAAGCGGCTGTTGCAGCGCTGGGAGGGCTCGCTCAACGTCAACTTCTACGACCACGAGGGCCAGACGGCCCTCCACAAGAGTGTGATGGAGGGCAACCTCGAACTCGTCAAGCTGCTCGTCAAGTTCGGCGCCGACACGCGGCTGGCCAACAGGGACGGCTGGTCGGCGATCCACATCGCCGCCTATGGTGGACACCAGGACATCGCGCTCTATCTCATCTCTAACAGCGAACCTCGTCGATAGAGTGCGGTGCTGGGACAGTGCGCTGGACCAATCAAATCTCAGGAACAGACTCCCGACGACGCCTTTTCTCAGCCCGCCGGCGTGCTCGCGCCGTGCGCAAGACCCGGACTCCGGCGCAGGCAAGGTACCAACCACACCGAACCAAAGCATGCCACGATGAACCACCTCTGCATCGTGGCACGTTTTGCAGAGCAAAAGTCTCGTGGCAGTCTGTACATACGCGAATGTTTTTGTGTATGGCTACATTTCCAAAGGCTGTAGCGAACAAGTTCCTTCTTCATATTGACTAGTAATGTCGCCTTAGTTATGTCACTAAATAGTGTTGCCTTGTTTTTTCCTCCGTTTTTCTCTCCACGAGACAATCCCCGCAGCAGTAGGCGCAGGCCAAGCGTGCGCGCGACCGCCGCCTCTCCGCTCCAGACCTGTCTAATCTCATTCCCAGCATAGCGATGCTATCGGTGGATCTTCCGTAGGCCCTCCCCATGCTCGCATTTTGCTCCTCTCGCAGCACCGGGCCCATTGTAAGCAATGCTGGCTGAGAAGCGAAAACCGGACTAGACCGGGCCGCGCGAGAAACTCTCCTCCTCTGCGAGACGCGCGCGCTGCACTGCTCACCTCAGGGCCACCTTTTTGCATCCCGTAAGGTGTCGCGCCTCGCTTGGCTGCTCGTGCTTGGCGCGAAAAAAACAAAAACACTCTGCCCGATGAAGGCGCCGGCTCCCGGTCAGCACCTTCATCTGCGGTAAGAGTATCATTCACCCGAAGATTTGGCACCCGGCTCGTTGCAAGTAATGTCTGTACCACGAAAATTTCGGTGCCTTGCATGTGCGTCGAAGGAATGTGATCTGATGGAATTTTCAAGAAATGTGATGGCCGGGATCACTTTAGAATTTTTTTCAGAAAAATCTTCCAGACCGCTGTCCACTGCGCCTTCGGTGAAATTATTGGTTTCCTGTGGAGTCTGGATAATTTTATGAACAGCTCGAACCATGAGTGGCGCCAGCAAGCCTGCTTTGCTATATAACAAGGCCGGTTTGCTTGCGGCTGCCTGGATGCGCGATCAGGGAACGTTGGGGCTCTGTTCACTGGGAAACAGAACAGGAGTCGACTTTTCCAGTGCTTATTGTGGTCCGTTTGGTAGGTTCAGCGTCTTAAAAGCGTCAGTGACCACCTGTAGTCCATCCTCTCAAGCTTCTTACTGTTTAGTATATAGTCGAGATTTATCTTTACAACTGTCATTTCAATAATTGAGAATGCAGCAGCCTATGCTGACGCTTGATAGCGATACGTCGCATTTACTATCTGTAGTCATTTGTGTCTCTTACACGTTGCCAAAAACATCGCGGTTCCCGTTTTCCAGGCATCGCGTACTTTTTCCTTAATATTTTCCGGTGTTGTGTGCTGTCCACTCAATCCACGGCTGGTTGTTCTGTGCTCCTGGCGCACAGCGAAAGAAGCCGCTTGTTGAGCGCTACGTGTGCTTTGTCGTTGCAACCATTTGACGTAGTTGCGTACTAGCTACAACAGCCGCACGGGACTGCGGGGATGCGTGCGAAGAAAGCAGCACCACGTTTTCCGTCGCGATGGGAGCGTCTAGCCTTGTACACCACCACCCGCAGGGCTTTCCTGTTTGCCCTGGGCACGGACACAACCGAGCCAATGCCTGACGCTTTCTTTTCTGCTTGTGTTTCTGTCTTTTACCCGCGTCTTTTATTATCATCGTCTCTTTTGGCGTGTGCGCGGCGGGAAAGCGATTTGGCGCGTCATTAGCGAGCGCCCACACGGCTCCGGCAGACCGGCCGGTGCCCGTTTTCTCTTCTTTCTCACGGCCTCTCTCGATGTCCTCGTTCCGAAAGAAATGCGCCCGCCGCGGCAGCCGTTGTCTCGTCTATCAGTACGTACGTGCGAGCGTTCTCTCTCTGTGTCTCTCACTCGGGCCGATATCCTTCCCTTCGTGCAATCCATCGTCGCGCGGAAGACTTTAATACGAGATGGCAATCGTCGAGTTGCGCCTTGACGGGCTGTTGCACCTAAGTTTGCCCTTCCTTCCGATTCCGCCACTCCAAGGACGCCGGTGCTATTCGCGTGCACAATGGGTCGTGGCTGCTCCTCGAACGCATGCAGCGTCGCTGTCAGGAACTCGGTTCTCAGTAGCGACGTGGTCGGGATTGCGGGCTCGTAGCTCTCGATCTCTGTCGCTGTCACGAGACCCGTCAGTGCCCAAGAAGGTGGGATGCTAAAGAGCAGCTGAGAGGAGATACCATGTAGCCCCGGAATCGAGGAGGCCGTTTCTGTATTGTGCGCGGCTTATGCGTCTGCTCAACAATCTCTTACGCCTCTCTTCTACCCAAAGAAACAAATGAATACCTCATCCGCCCCAGATTTTTTTTTTTTTGTTTTTTGGACGCGAAGCAGTTCTTCGTGGCTGGATCCCCGGTCCCTTGTTCTGTGTAACCACTGCGGTCGTGATAGACGGCGAGAAAAAAAAATAGATGTCCCCAAGTTCCTGCCAAAGTATTTCCGATCACAGTGCGTGATTTGCCAGCTCTAGGTAGTGTGCTCGGTGTTCCCACTGAGAACGAGCTTGAAAAGGTCTTTCGCGTGAGTTTATGGAACATGGGCTGTCACATCGATAATGTCTGCCTTTGTGTTTTCGTTGTTGTTGTTGTTGTTTTGTCTGTACTTGTGTACGTTGGCTTCAACGACAAAAGAAGTGTAGTACATACTCCTTACTATTCATACTGAATATTGTTAACCAAGAATGTCACTTTTGAGTGTGCAAACTGTGAAAAGGCAAGAGAAAAAAAAAAGCGAGCGCGTGCTCATGTTGTCCAGTATTTGTACTTTTATTATGACTCCTAGGCAATGTCAGATTTCTGTGCAGCATCCTTGTCTATTCTGTCCACGCTAAACGTGGCGTGTATGTATGTGTGTACAAACAGAATGAATGACTGTGCAACACGTTGTTTGATTAAAATGTTTATTGTTTGCTGAAAGAGAGTCTTCCTCGTTCCGTGCTAGAGTGCTGCCCTCTGACCACTTTCCTTTTGGGAAGCGTCCAAATGAACCCAGCTCACACTTTTTTTGCAACACGCCAGTCCATATTCTCCTCTTCCGTCGGCTTTTTTTACCATCCTTTTCAAAAGGTGGTAGGAGCTGCGGCAAAGGCTGTTTTCGTCAACCTTGAGCGGAAGAACTGCGGGGAAAATGACAATAGACACTTGGCCGCCGTACAATAGCGCAGAAAACGTACGTAATAGGGACAAGGACTTTGCAGGACGTTGCGGCGTTTGTCATTCGGCATTCAGTACATGGCTTGTATGTGTGCGCGAACGTACAGAAAACGTTAGCACAGTTGCGCCGCTACATGAATCCCGAGCCAACCCAGTCTTACAGTGATGCGTCATTTGGTTTCCATGGAAACGCATCGCTTCGGGTCTACGGCTACCTCACCCGCAGAAAAATTTCGAAAAGTGAGCAAACTATGCTCACGGACGACTTTTCTTGGCAACGAAGGCAAGGCCACGTAGCCAAAGTGGGCGTGTACTCCGCTGAAGAATATAGTCCTACAAGTGCTATTTTCCCCGTGAAATACATAAAAAAACATTGCTTGATCTTTTACGGGATGCATTTTATAAACGAACGCTGCTCGCACCGAGGAGATATTAAAATTTGTTTTACCTAATGAAGAGTCATCTCACAGTTAAAATGGCGTCTTCGTCTTCAGGTGAGCTATAGTCGCCATCCAACTATTCCGTCTACTCGCTGAAGGAGCCTGTGATGAACTCGAGTCTCAAACCGCTGTCAAAGGAGACGAAGCAAATAGTATACAATGTTACTATTCGAACACGGCCATCATTCGAAACGCTAGCCGAACCGGACTACTTCGCGGAGGAGTACATGTGCAGTAGCTCCACCCCTGCAGCTTTCCCTTCATGGCCAAGTTGCACGCGAGTATAACCGGTCACTTTAATTAATTTGAAATTGAAGTAACTTGGAGTTAAAAAGAGTGAGGACGCAGCCGTCCCTGACAGTTCACTTTCTCGCGGAAGCTACGGAAGGCGCTATGTTCGATGGCCACAATCCTTGGCATGCACGTAAGCCCAAGCATGCGTTAAACTTGCCGAATTAGATGCTCCAAGTAGGCACGTAGGTTACATAAAACAAAATGAACAGGTATACCTAAATTACTCTAAAATAGTAATTGAATTCTATAACTACTTACTTCGTAATTTTTAATATAAATTAATCCCGTTACAAATTACAATTCACTAAAAGTAATGCGCTTACATTTCCAGTACTATCGAAGAGTTCATTATTCGTGCACAATTATCGTACAGTCGTAAGAAATATGAGAAAGAACTCCGCATCTAGTTCACTTATAATTTAGCGGTACGAATGGGATGGTATTGAATTCGAGTCATGAACCTTATTGCAATTGTAAACGGCGTTTATCTGTTATGACCTTTAAGAAGAAATTTCAGTGTTCTTTCTTGAATTGCGCCAGTGGTTTTGCAGATATTTCTGTGCTCAGATTTGGGTGCACGTTAAAGAACCCCGGGTAGTAGAAATTCCCGGAGCCCTCCACTACGGCGTCTCTCATAATCATATGGTTGTTTCGGGAGGTTAAACCCTACATATCTCTCTATCTTCAGATATTTTTTAAAAATTTCCCACGCTTGAGGCTTTGCTCTCAGATTACTCGGAATGTTTTTTTCTTCTTTTATTTCGATCAATATTTATGCCACATGGAAAGCGAAAATGCCATATTTCAGACATGAGTGATTGGAAAAGTAATAAGTAACTTTCCTGAAATTACTCGCTTGAAGTAACTAACGGCATTACTATATTAGTAACCCACAAGAATAATTCATAAAATTTCTCATTAAAACTAAAAGTAATTTATTTATGCGATTCAATTACTGCCACGTCTGACGATAAGGTTCGAAGCATATATGCTGCAAGGGACGAGGGGAACGCTCACACGACCGTAACACTACACTCTAAAAAAAGAGCGAGTAAAAAGGGTGTCTTTTTTGTCCCACAACAATAATCGTCATATATATATTGCGCTCCATCCTTGTGCTATCGCCCCGCGCCCGGTACATTCCGGTCACGATAGACATGCCCATTATCAGGGTTACATTGCATTCTCGATAGGAAAGTGGCCAGCGCCGAGTCTTCAAGAAAGGAAGCGCACGCGAGCCTGATGACGATTATTGTTGTGGGACAAAAAGACACTCTTTTTACTCGATATTTTTTTAGAGTGTAGGTTCACCCGCGAGGGCGAAATCCCGCTGCTCCGCGTACCGAATAGTCACTTGATTAGTTTAATCCGGCGCAGCAGAGACATCGCATGCACACAGCCGGAGCTACGCTCGCGGAATCTTCAAAGCGTACTCTCGCCTCTTTCACTGTCACACGAAACACATTTGGTCCTTTCCGCAAACAAGCGAAACTGAAACACGTGGCTTTTAATCCGGTAGCCTGCTTTCAAGCCACGCTAATCCGACCAATGTTGTCAGATTTGACGCTGAATCCTCTCGATCTAGGGCGCATGACCGTCAAACAGACGGATCGAAATAGTGGCGACGCATTTCCATCCGTGCCGCGAGCGGATGGAGCGAGGACGGCAAGTTCCGATGAGGCGCACGTCACGCGTGATGCTGCGCCGTCCACTGCGAAAACTTCCTCCTCCGTTCGCTCGTGCGAATCCACCTTTAGCCGCATGCTTGCGTCCGCTGTATCGAAATGGTAAACTATTTAACGTAACACCCACCGCTGTGGCACATCCTGTAAGATACTCGATACTGACACGAAAAAAAAAAATTGGGCAGATTCCGCGTACCTTAGGAATCGATGTTATGCTAAGCATAGGGATCGCAGGCTTCTGTATTGACATTTTTTTTGATTCAGCGACACGTTACGTTACACGTTACGAAGTTGCACTAAATATGTGTTCAAACACACGCACAGACGTGCGTCAAACAGCCGCGTATGTTTTATATAACCAGTAGTTTATACAGCTGGGTAACGATGCCAAGAGCAACATGGATATTACCAATACTAGAGGCAGTAAGCAGATATGAAGCACATGCAGTGCCCGCAAGTATATATGTACAGCTTTTAGACACTGCTACATAAATCAACTTCAGTGGATGGTGCCTAACTACAACTGACGCTAACCCTACGGGACGGCTGCATCACAGGAGTACATATGTAATATTTATAAAATTGGATAGCCAGCACTGCAACCGCAGTGCACGTTTCGCGAACATTAGGGTTTATTTGGAAAGCAGCCCCGAGACCGGGTGTGGGGCTCTGTGGTGGAATTCCCGATTGCCACGCAGAATGCTGGGGTTCGATTCCTGGTGGGACCCCGACAATAGATAGTTTTAGTTTAGCGCGCGCAACGGCCTAGCGTACGCAACGTGCGCGAGAGAGCAAGAGTGCGCATGCGCTGAATCTAAGAAAGATGCGTGCGTTTGCACACACAGGGGATGCACACACTAGATCTCAGCGCTTTCGTTGCGCCCGCTACGGCAGTTGCGTACCTTACAAGCGGCTCTCACGAGATCTCGAACATCCGAGACCAAAACAGACAAGATGGCTGTGACCGACATCACTATACGGTGGTCGGGGCAGCGAATGAAGTCCGTGTTAATAATTAAGTAACCTGAATTACTGAACAGGTGCAGGGGATTGGGATCGCTGCTAAGCTGGCGTGCAACGTTGTACGACTGGACACTGTCATTTACGAAGAAGCAGGAACACGATGGTGACGTGAAGCAACGCGACGGTGTACGGGGTGTCGCGTGTGTGATCCCTTTGAACTGTGGTGGTTGCTGCGTGTGTCTAACCAAAAAAATGCCCTAATGATCGCCTGCAAAAGCATTATTCGGAGGGTTAGAAAGTAAAGGTTAGTTCTGTTAATGCATTTAGCGTGCATGTGGATGCACGTCCGTGTTCTACGAAGCTCAGGTGATTTTTCTCGCACACAGTGCCGTTATTGTGAAAGCTGCTATCACAACGTCAAGGATAGCACGTGAAGACGCCGCCACCAACGGGTGCATTTTTTGTATTTATTCTTGAGCAACCCCAGTTTGTTTTTGTTTTTCTGTCTCGTGATCTTAGAAAATGTCTGTAGCAAACAACAAATGTTACATTGGCAATAAGTGATCGTCTTCGCCGTCTATGTTCCTCATGCTGCTATAGTTTCCCTCGCCTCAACACTCCAAACCACTACTCGTCCTCGGAAAAGAACGCCTTGTCTCATGCCCTGACTTGGTGTTGCGTCGACGAGTATTGGTTATTACAACTTCTTGCCTCTACACGAGATGGCGTGAAGCAACACTCAAAGGCAGGCCTGTTGACGCTCAGGTGCAGTACACGTTTCAGATGTTGCACACGGTAAACTGATGATCGCGCAGCACGTTGCGGACGTACCGCCTTGCGTAAACTAAACTGAAATTCTCTATTTATTCTTCGCACTCGTCGGGTCAACGCTGCCGATGTCAGCTTTTTTTTGTTAACACCCATGTGTTATAATTACGCATGTCTGTTCTCACCATTCTTGGGTAGATATAAACTATCAATCACCAGCGCCACATATCCACCCGCGGGCATGTACCTCACGTCTGGCGGAAAGTTTCTGGGGACGTACGTGGCGGGATTGTGACATTATGCATCCCATGACCAGTGAGTCATATTCAACAAACCATTTTGCCATCTCATACTAATTTTCGTTCACCCCAAGTGAAGGGGAGTGATCACGAAAGCCCCCAGACGTCTAAATAGATAGATGCGTACAGACGCTCAAAGTGCCTTCCGTATACGCAAAGGAATGCTTCAAACTTAAAACGCAGCTTCGAACTCGGCCCCAGAGGTGACAGAGGCGAAGCTTGCTGGATGCCCGTGTACTGTGTGATTTTTAAATGTTAAAGAGCCTTCAGGTGACCTGAATTTCGGGACCCCTTCAATACGGCGTGCTTCACAT